TTTTTTTTTTTTTTTTTTTTTTTTTTTTCACTAAATAGGTACTTTCTTAAGATTTTCATACATAAGTACATGAGTACATGGCGCGGCGTTGTGCATAATATGTACTTAGATATTTTACATTATACAATAAATTATTTCCTGTCTACGTGTTCTGGAATAGACATTAATCGACATAAAAGGTCCAAAATCGCGACGAATTATTACGAATTCACAAAAATGAATAATTTAATTAGTGTCCTTAATGGATACTTATGACTTGGATAGTGTTATTCTTAAATTACTTATCTACAACGTCCGTTTAAAACGAAATATTAATTTTTTAGATCAATTTTCAAATATAATTTAATGTTTTTATTTTGTACGTACCTGCCTGCGAACAGAAGTAAATAGTATATTGGTGAAAAAAAAATAATAACTTTTCTAACTGGTAACTATTACACTATAACCTTATTAGGACATTTTTTATTTTCTACAAATAATATAATAGTAGAACAATTTTTACTTGTTGTTCTTATTCTTTTTTGCTTCTTCTAATTTGATTTTTATTGGTCTCCAAGGACTATTTCATCTCACCCAATTCTCCATTGTTCTCTGCACATTGTTTTTCAATATCCAGTTTGAACCTTCAGATAATCACACGTTCTATTTTATTAAATCTTATCACCTGGTTTTGAGCCTTTTTAGAGATTTTATCCAGATGCTCAAGCACTGATTTCGTTAGTTCATTATGAAAATTTTTAATTTCGTTATCCTCTGACGATATCATGGACTATGGTTATTTTCAACAAATTACAACTTATTCATTCGATATTCGACTCGATTTGATTAAATGTTCAAATTAACTTTTGACTTGGTCGATTAAAAAAAAAAAATCGACTTTTAACGCGTTAGTATTACTAGTTAAATTTATTTTTATTTTTTTGCAATTTATTTAACCGAGATATATTACATTAGGTATCCGTTCAATGACCCAGCCTGGTTGATATTCGTATAGTACTGGAATTATCGCTGTTCAATTCGATCGTTTCCTAACCAACGCGAACACGATAAAAATATCGAATTGTGAGTTGTGCATAGCTGACGGTCGATGGTTTTGCGAGTGTCGAAGACGGGCCAAGTACAAAGATAAATAAGAATATGCCTTATAACTTTCGAGTGGTGTATAATATGATAATCACACACGAGATAAATATTATAATAGTTATACACGAAAACGCGTGTAATAATGATGCGTCAATTAGTATAGGTAGACGCGCCCGGCGTGGGGCCACAGCGGGAGGGGGGGGGTGGTCAAATGTATGTTTGCCGACGAAAAAAAAACAACAAAAAAATACGGGTTTCAAAAATATAATATACTCGGACGTTGTATTTTCGTGGCACTGGCATTCCCGCGTTCCGTTTTTGACCGTTCGTAAAACGTTTACAAATTATTAATGAGAAAAATCGTTACTGTTCGCGATAATTTCGAAAAAAACGAAAACGAACGAATTGCAATCCTATTGTCTCTGTGCCACGGGGTCCTCGGGGCAAGAAAATCTATGATAACAATGTGTCCTAGCCGTCGTGGTCGGCGCGAATGACGTCACAAAGTCTACCGTGTGGACAGTGTGCGCGCGGCGATCGTATCCTTAAAGGACGACGGACATCACCTGCTGCCGCTGCTACAGTTCTTTATATGTGTATAAAAAATAATAATAAAAAAAATACCGAATACCAGTTTCATTCAACAACCGGCGCGGCGGCGGCGGCGGCGGCGGCGTTCTCTGCCACACCTCTTTTGTTACTTACTCATTCTTAAAAGAAGAAGAAGAAAAAAGACCGAAACAGAAAAAAATAAAAATAATAATATCGTAACGAGAGAGAGAGAGAGAGAGAGAGTGAGTGTATGAAAGAGAGCGAGAGAGAGCGAGTGAGAGCGAGTGAGAGACCGTTGCACGTGATATTGTCTGTCCCGTACCGAAAAAACCGCCGACGCCGCCAATGACGATAACATCTATACACGATATTTTAATTTAACGACGAGCGCAACTCGTTTTATCATATCATTATCATTATGGTGTATTCGTTTTTTTTTTTTTTTTCTTCTGTTTTTACCGCCGAAAGCCACAGGTTTCGCCACTTCACAATATCATCATTATGCGCTGTTAAAAATACACATTTCTGTATGTACGTACGAGTTTACCGCCGCGCGGTAAAAACGACTTTGTACATATTATAATAATAATAATATATCGCACGCAGCAATAACAGACAATTATTGTTAAAACCCAACTCCGCAATAATATTATTAGCGATTTTATTGTACACGTTTTCTTTTTTTTTTTATTATTTACGTGGACCGCGATCACAGTTGGTGGTGGTGGTGGTGGTGGTACGGTATCCATACGGTAAATTCAATCGATGCCGTACAATGTATTCTATTTCATTTCATTTCATATGTTTTTTTGTTTTTTCATCTTTTTCTCCGTATTGAACGGTTACAATTCATTTTATAATTAGGAATGAAAAAAAACAAAAACGCATTAATTGTAACATGACGTGCGGGTACAGACGAATCAAAGTATGTGTACACCACTACGGGTCTGCACGTTTTTCTACCGTTTCTGCGCCGATTTTAACCACTTTTTGTAAGACGATTACCGTACTGCACTATCGTTAAAATCGCCGAGCAAATCTCCGAACGAGGAAAAGATCAATACGGATCGTATGTATACTGTGTATACATTTGACGGGCTATTTGTTTTTTTTTTTTTATACGAACCTACAGTTTTATTACGAATGTACAGTTGTCTGCTCTTTGTTCTCGAATCAAAAAAGCATTCCGAGCACAACCAGTAAACCGATAAGGATGATGGATTATAGAATTATTGGTCGTGTTTTTTTTCCGTTGCGCCTAAGGTAATCAGGAAATCAAAGAAAACCGTTTAGATTGTCAGTTTTGTTGAACGAATTTTTTTTTTTTTTCTGGAAAAACTGTTGAGAATTTAGAAAAAGATTTCGAATAAAATACCACCGGGCGAAAACACCCCGTTTTAGGGATTTCCGAATTAAAAAAAAAAAAAACACGCACATCTCAAAAGCTTTTTCGCTCTAGACTCCGAATCTAATAACAAATGTTTTTTTTTCATTGATACGACCATTATTAGTTTGGTTTATTTACAGCGCGTTTCGTCAACAATACGTATTCTCAATTGTATATTGCGACCTTTTTTTTTTTTTTTTTCTCTCGCACGTAAAAAAACCGAACACTTTGTCGGTACCCAACGGACGTTTGCTTTGCGTATTTCGGCGCGTCCGATTGTATTCGAGCGCACAAAGTCGCACGAGAACTCCGATTACGAGTGTTCCGCGCGCGCGACGCGATAGACGGACGATCGGAACACAAGACGATTACGGTGTACTCTGTACTCGGGTGATACGGCGTGATCATCGAAACGTACAGAAACGCGGGCTCCCGCACGACGCGAAGACGTCGAAAACGCGGAAACGCGTACGCCGAGGGACGGGAAACGTTTTAATAAGAAACACAGGCGAGGGCCGCGCAGCAGCAGCAGCAGCAGCAGCAGCAATAATAATAATAATAACGTAAAGGGACAATAATGATAAAAGTGCCGGCGCAGCCGGTGTGCGGTGTGCCGGTCATTATGTAAACGAGAGTCGTCAAAACAGTAGTGACCGCCGTGCGCCAGTTCGCCCCCCCCCCGTACGCGCGCACGTTTATATCTGTTTTACCGTCGGGTCAGGGGTTGTTTTTATATCCTCCCGGACCGTATTACGCCGTTACACGGGCGCGCGCGCACAGACACGAAAATACACGCGTGTGCGTGTGCGTGTGTGTGTGTGTATATCTGACCGAAAGCCCTCGCGGTGCAGTGAGGGTCAGCCGGCTAAATCGAACAATAAAAGTGCATGTATACCGTGCACGTATGTATACGTAATGATACGATACGACCGTATCCGTATGTGCGCGGTGAATTTGGAAGTAAAAAAAAAAATAAAAAAAAAACAGAGACCTGGACCGCCGGGGTCGTATCCAATATTATACATATTGATATTTTAACCCAATCTAAATACGGGAGATGGAAATAAAATAACATCGGATGTACACGAGCGGTTTTAGACGCTGAGCGAAGCGAAGAAGCTTACGGTTTTACGAAGATGTTTATTTTTTTCATCTGCGGACCAGACGACTTGCTCCGATATTTGCGTGTAGCGACTTCTCTGAATGAAAATCAGCGTGTGGGGATACGTTGAACCAGTGATTTTTTTTTGATTTTCTCAAGAGTTTGCTCACGAAATGCGAAAAACAACTTTTCTACCGGCAATTTTTTTCCAACTATTAATGACGGCAATGTTTCTGAGGTGGAAATTTCACCGGGGAGGTACCTTGGAGGGGTCGTTTTTCGATATTCTCAGGAGTCTTGTCGAAAATTGTGAAAAACCGAGAAAAAAGTTGGAAAACAGAGGAAATCGGTACAACGTTAAACAAATATTATAAAGAAAATATATCGAGCCTATTTAATTGTTTTACTACATCACTATCAATTGGACTCCGCTCAGAATGTTATTTTCGTTAGCAATGGTTTATCGTTGTTCACAGATATTCCTTTAAATTTCCGTTTGCATTCTGCCTTCTCAATTTCCCATCTACACCGGTGGCTGCACCCGTGCCCGTTGTCTTATCTTTTTTTTCTAATATTTGACTTATCGCATAGAAAATCGTACCTTCAATTGTTATGCGTAGTGTCCAGGACTTGTTGCATTTAAAGTTCACAAGAAGCCCTTAAAAACGTCAAAAAGCCTTGCAAATAGCATTTCAAAACAAAATATTATTATACTAAATGGTGGAAGGGTTTAAATAATGTCCCATGTCGGTAGACGTTTTCGTTTTTTTTTTTTTTTTTTGAAACACACTCCCGTAACAGTAGTTATACAGAATGACCGGATCTTTCGGACAATATTCGTCCAAACTGCCACGGAGCAACACTGCAACAAGGCAAACGGGCAACGCACAGCCTATATATATATATTCTATTACGAAATAATAAAAAATTCTACTTTAACGTAATGTGTTACGGATAAACGTAAATTGTACATGTTGGTAAATACGCATCTGTGTGTTTTATTATCGATTTATAGTATTGCGGATTTCGGAACGATACGAATCTAAAAGATAGAGAAACGAAAATATTTCAACAGAGCTGTGAAACTCTGTCGGTCTAAATGGCACAAGTAATTATATCTAGGAAATGTGGTATGTGCAAGTATGTGTATTTTCAAAATTTAATTGGTTTTTGTTAAAAAATTAAATCATCACCGAACAATAAGGTTCACAAAAAATAACGGCCATTTAACATTTCAAAGCGGTTTGTTTCGTGGATTTTTTAAAAAACAAATTTAATATTTTCATTATAAACAGTTGTTTTTTTTTTTTTTTTTGTAAGTTTTTGGTTAAATTATCAAAAATTAAGCACATTGTTTTTTCTCAAAAAAAAAAAAAAAAAATCTAAATCTAAACGAGGCAGGAGTGTCAACCCTAAAAATTACGTTTGAAAAAATTTAAAAACAGGTTATGCGCTGGCCTTTAAATACGAAAATTGATATTTAATACTGATTTCGTGGTTTTTGTTTTACAAATTGTTAACATTTACTATTAAAAAGTCTTCACAGTTCTTAAAAATAATGCAGCGCGCAGTCTATTTTTTTTACTTTTTTCAAACGTGATTTTTAAGGTTGACACTCCCGTCTCGTCGAGATTTTGATTGTTTTTGAGAAAAAACAACGTGCTTAATTTTTGACAATTTAACCAAAAATGTGCCAAAAAAAAAAAAAAAACAACTATTTATATTGGAAAATATTAAATTTGATTGTTTGCAACGTCCATGAAACAAACGGCTCTAAAACGTCAAATGGCCGTTGTTTTTTTGTGGGCCTTATCGCGCGGTGACCGAACCACTGTCCACTGTCCACTGCACCGCCGTGTGTTACGAATAATTCCGTAAACAGTTTCGGTTCAAACGGTTACGGGCGTTGACGTTTTTAATTTCCGTCGACCCGTCGACGTGTTGTTAACGTTCCACGTACGAGTTCGGGGCGGGAAGAGCGCGCCGTTACAGCGGAACGCGCAGCCGTTCTCCTCGTGCACGCGCGAAACGGAAACTTTAACGGCGGAACGTCCCGTCGGCGGATCGACGGAAATTAAACGTTTCGACGCCACGACGCGTATTCGAACCGCGACGTCGCGCGCGCGCGCGGGGGGGGGATTTACGGGATCCCGCGACACGGGTGGCTATTCGAAAACCGGACCCGGGCACGGACGGCCGCGGCGACCGGTTGCCCCCCCATTACCCCCCCCCTCGAGCCGCGGCAACGCGACGCGACGTTTTTTTCCGTCACCGGAGTCGCGCGCTCGGCGCTCGGACGGCACCGCGCGGAAAAAACGTCCCCCCCCCCACCCCGGCGCGCAATACGTTGTCGCGCAGCGTCGCGACCGTTCGTGTCGTTATTATTATTATTTTTTTTTTTCAAACGGAGCGGCCCGACGCGGTCGTTCGTCGCGTCGCCGCGTACCGCCCGAACGGCGGCGGCGGCGGCGGCGGGACGTGCCGACAAACTTCACGCGGGCCGCCGACCGGCTTCTTTGATTAAAACAAGACGTCACCGTCGCCGGTTCGACGTATAAATGACAGCCCATTAACGCGGTGCTACGGCTCCGGCCCCCGGAGGATCCGTCCGCTCGCTCTCGCGAATTTGCATCCAGATTTGATAACATCGCGTCCCCGTCGCGTACACATATATATATACGTATTGTCTTGGCGGGCGCGCGCGCGCTCGCTCGTATATTACATTATAATAATAATAATAATAATATTCCGCCCCGGGCTAATTTTCTCGCGCCGTACCCGTTTTCGCAAAGTCATTTGTTACCGCCGTGTATATAATACGCGTATATATATACGTGTACGCGCGTATTATACGCGCGTCTATCGCATTACGCCGTTCTCCCGTCGGCTGGTGGGGCGGTATACGACTGTTGTTGTTGTTGTTGTTGTTGTCGTTGTTATCATGACCGTCGGGACCCTTCGCGCGCGCGCGCGCGACGTACCGACGCGTGACCTGTTGGACCCGCCGTAGCGGATATTAGTCCGGCCGCAGGCGCCGCCGGCGCGTCCGTCGCAGCGAACCGCCGGTTATCTCATTGACCGGCGGTCATTACCGCGTCGACCCGGCCCCTGACGCGCCGGGCGCGGACGCGGCGGTCTCGCGACGAACATTCGCGTCGCGTTTTACAATCGTATTTGTCGGTTTCGTTTATCGGCCGGGCCCGAGCGCGTCCCCGTACATTCGCATTCGTAGACGATAACGGGCGTAAAGGGATACGGACGATTTTTCAAAAACCGTCATTGTTCGGGTATTTATTTATTTATTTTATGTTATTATTTTTTTTTTTTTTCACAACTGTAAACGCATAATACGTTTTTCAACAAAACCGGAGTAAAACGGGATGTACACGTAGTGTGCGTGGATAAAATTCACTGGTCCGCGGCAAAACAATCGCCCTGTATAATACTTGTGTAAAATTATCGCGCCCGGAGGCGGATAAGGCACGCCGTGGGGGGGTGGGGAAGAGGCGGCGGAGAGGTCAACTCATTTCGTCTGATCGCATCAATTAATATTTTATACTCCTGGGTGTACGAATTTCGATTGTTACTCGTACGCGTTACCAACTGAAATTTTATTTAAGTACAAGTAGGCAGGTTTTTTTTTTTAATTTTTTTTTTTTTTATTCGGGATTCCCGGGTCGTCGCATATTTTATTACCGACTCTGATCGTGTTTTCGATAATATTTTACAGCGTAATTTGTTTACCATTATTTATACCGGAAACATAATCAAATTGCATTCCGTACGATCCCAAATTCATGGATGGTCAGATTAATAGACAGTAAAACGTTTATCATTGAGTATAGTTTTTAAACGATGGGCGTGTCGGATTTTTCTAAAAAGTAATATATGGCCGTGCTCCGATGACCGTTTCCCTCGGAGAAAAACAAAAAACGACTAACTACAACGATTATTTCGCAGTATTACCATAACGACAGATAAACGTTAAAAACTCAAAATGCACCCCGTCATTATTAACCTTATAACTGCATGATAATATTGCCATGGTTTATTCGTACAAGTCCGCACGACGGCCGGACAATGCGCGGAGACGTTCTGCCGAATCGCCAATTATTTGCTGGCGTTACGCACGGGAGTTCGATCGTTTTGATTTTCGTTTGCGACAAACGTCAACGACCGATCCAGACGAGGGTAGCGATCGAAATGGCTCCGGAGCCGGGAGAGTAGAT